TTTATACAATAACAAGTAAAGTATGAGGGAAAATGAGAGAGAAAGCACTTCAACTGATATATTAAGAGGCATACTGACTGATATGTTTATTTGTTCCTACTTGCCAGCTGTAATTGCACAGGTGGTCAACATGGATTTAACAGATTGAGTTCTATAAATGTAAATCATCAGAAGTCATATCACAATAGCTTGAGGACTGTTTGTACCCATCCTAACTTACATCAATCAACTAAATAAAATACCTCCGAGAATACTTCAGTGGATTTGTGGTATCATTGACATAGATTTTCTCTCTACTGAGGCAGATCTCATTCCCGACTATACTTTCTTATTCCATGTAGCTCTTGTCCATGTCCCTCACAATCCTCCATGAGTGTCCAGCCAAAATGCTAAGGGCCTGACTGTAGATTTATTGACATGTGGATATCAGTGCCCTGTACAGCTTGCTGATCAAGTATTCCTCAGTCTTGCTTCATGACAGGCCCGTCTTGTTTCCCATCAATTGTTTCTTTTATGCTGTTTCTTATGTGACATTCTCCTTTAGTAATATGCTATCATTTACTCATGCTCCCCATATATCTCTTCATTCCTCTCTGTATAACCTGTAAATTTGATTCTTTGGAGATTGAAAGAAGACTTAAAGGTTATTCAGCCTAGCTTATGTGAACCTGGTGGATATTAACAATTTTATTCTTATTGGTTGTATACAGAAGAAGAAAAGGTGTGAAGTTATTTTGGGAGGCCTCCTGGAGCAAAGTTAATAAAATAATGTCATCTACCCCACATATATATTTACATTTACATGTGAATATATCTATATAAATATATCTATATATAAGTATATATAGATATATTTACATTTAATAGACCATGTGATTGTAAGGACAGGATGTGAGAGTGATGAAGGCCATACATTGAAGGCAATGTGTGGTGTAGAGGGCTGGACTGATCACAGACTTATCCTTTCCAAGCTAAATATTCACATTCATTAAAAGCAGCAATCCCAAGGCAAAATGACTAGCAGAAGAATTAATGTCAACAGATTAGAGTGCTTCTCTATGTGGAAACAGTTTGTTACTAACTTGGAGGGAAAGTTGAGCCAACACATGGTTGGCAACAGTGGAGTAGAAAAGGAGTTGATAGCTTTCAGAGATTTGGTGTTCAACACTGCATTTATTCATATGGGTCAGAATATTTGCAAACATCAAGACTGGTTTGATGAAAATGATGGGGAAATTCAGAAACTGCTAAATAAAAAATGAGAACTCCACAGAATTTACCAGCAGGATAGTTCATCCATCTCTAAGAAGGCAGCATTTAATTCCATCAAAAGTAAATACAAGTGAAGCTTAGAGAGATGAAAGATTCTTCGTTTGGTAAGAAGGCAGATGAAATTCAGTTTTATGCTTATAGTAACAATCCAAAGCACTTTTATGATGCCCTGAAGGCTGTTTATGGGCCAAAGACCTATGGTGCATCTCAACTATTCCATGCTGAAAGAGCCACATTGATTAGTGATAAGGACACGATCCTAGAGAGAGGGGCTGAACACTTCCATAATGTTCTCAACAGACCACCATCAATCAATGCTGAAACCATTGACAGTTTACTTCAGGTTCAAGTCAGTCCCTCCCTAGCTGAAGTTCCAACTGAAGAAGAGGTTTTGAATGTCATTAGACTCCTTTCCTGTGGCAAAAAAACCTGGTGCTAATTCTATTCCAGCTGAGATTTACAAGGTGTGGGGGGGGGTCCATTGCTTATATAAAAGCTGACTGAAATTTTCCAGTTTATATGGCAAGAGGAGGTTATCTCTTAGGAGCATTGTCTATCTCTATAAAGGTAAAGGAAATAGATTGTCCTGTGACAATCACAGGGGGGCCTTTCTCTTAAGCCATTGCTGGCAAGATTCTTGCCAGAGTCCTCCTTATTGGGCTGATCCTTCACCTGGAAGATGGTCATCCACCTGAGAGCCAGTGTGGTTGTAGAAAGGTGCAAAGAATGGTTGATATTGCTTCCCAACAACTCCAGGACTAATGTTAGGAGCAACATTTGTAGATACTGTCAGTTACAAAGGCTTATGGAAAATTATATCAAAATGTGGTTGCCTGGAGAAGTTCATTAGTATTGTCCATCAATTTCAGAATGGCATGCTTGTCCAGGTTCTGGATAATGAACAATATTCTCACACTTTCCCTGTCACTACTGAAGCAAAGTACGCAAAGCTGTATACTTGCTCCCACGCTTTTTAGCGAGACGTTTTCAACTATGTTGTCAATGGCCTTCAATGAGGACATCGAATCGGCAACTGCTCTGATGGTAAATTCTTCAACTTGAAAAGGCTATAAGCCAAGTCTAAAGTGGAGGGAGTGTCGGTGCGTGATTTTCTGTTTGCAGATGATTGTGTGCTCAATGCAGCCTCTGAAGCTGACATGCAAGAAAGCATGGATCAATTCTTTGCCACTTGTCCTAATTTTGGCCTAACAATTAACATCAAGAAAACACAGGTGCTCCATCAGTCAGCACCACACCATCCATATGCGGAACCATTGGTTATAAGAGATGGAGAAATTTTGTGAATACTGTAGATAAGTTCACTTACCTTGGTAGTGAACTTTCCAGGGGAGTACACATTGATAATGAGGTTGATACATGCATTGCCAGAGTGAGCTCAGTGTTTGGGAGGCTCCAAAGGAAAGCTTGGGAGAGAAGAGGTATTAGACTGACTCCCAAACTAAAGGTTTATAGAGCCATTGTGCTGACCTCATTGTTGTATACCTGTGAAACCTGGACAGTCTGCCAGAGCCATGCCAGGAAACTGAATCGCTTCCATTTGAATTGTCCTAGGAAGATTCTGAATATCATCTGGCAAGATAGGATACCAGACATTGAAGTCTTTTCTTGAACTATACTGCCAAGCATTCAAATTCTACTGCAAAGAGTGCAATTCTGATGGGCTCGCCATGTTCAAATGCCAACTGTATGCTTGCCAAAAATACTGTTTTATGGGGAATTCACACAAGGCAAGCACTCACATGGAGGTCAGAAGAAGCAATGCAAGGACACTCTCAAGGTCTCTCTTAAGAACTTTGGAATTGTGTAACATGGGACACACTGGCATAAGACCACCCAACATGGCATTCCTGTGTTCTATGAGCAAAGCTGAATTGAAGTGGCTCAAAAGAAATTTGAGATGTTCAAATTCAGATAATCTACCCTAGATGTTCACATGGATTATTTGTACCCAACCTGTGGTAGAGAATTCTAAGCTCCTGTTGGTCTGATCAGCCACAATTGGACATACTATAACTTAACTCTAACATAGTGATGTCATTTTGGTCCTCTTCAAGAAACGACAACTATACACATTTATTTACAACCAGGCCCTCCAACCAAGCCATAGTTTTCAGACCCCTGGATTAAACAATGGCTGGTCAAGTTTAGGTAGGTACAAAAATGAGGGAGATGAAGTTTTATAAGTGATCAATATCAAATCCCACACCTAGATTAAAAAGTTGAGCTCCATAAATACAGGATGGGTAAAATTAACCAGACAGTAGTTCATGTGGAAGAAGCCATGGGATTTTATTGATTATTAATTCAGTATAGGATAAAACATCCAAAAAGTGAATGTAGTTTTATGCATTGAAGAGGCATTACAACTAGAAGTAAAAAATTCCTTGATGAATGACCATCTTCTTATTAAAGTCAAACAGGGCATAAGGGCATAAGGCAGGGAGACACGTGCCCTGTTTGACAAACAAAGACATTAGTCACTATCACAGAAAATATCTTGGTCAAATCTATTTGGGAGAGAGGTTCTCTAGAGATGATAAGGTCCTCCAAATGTACCTCTTTGTAGCTGACATTGTATTGACTTCATTAAACCCTAGACCATTACAGGTCCTCTTTGGTAAGATCCATGATTACCCAAAAGAGATAGGCAATAATCTGTAGAAGAAAAAAATAAAATAGTTAAAATGCCTTTTATCCATAATATGACAGGCCATTGGACTGAGTTAGTCTAGTCTATTGAGCTGGCATACATACTCAGCTATACATATACTCAGGGTACTACTGAAAGACAGTGAGCTGGGCCCAAAATCAAATAGGGAGAGGACAGTAGATTGGATTACTTTTAGAAAGTTGTATAATAATTTAATGATTATACTGTTCCTGACACAAAACTCTATCCATTTAACATCATTGTTCTGATGATACTACATGGTTGTAGATCTTGGAAAAATATATTTTCTGAAGAACAAAAAGCTATAGGGTAAGCCAAAGGATAAGGAAGAGATAGACTACAGTCTAGTCCTAGTGATGACAAGAACAAGAAATGTTGTAAGGTGTATCATTCAGGAAGTATGTCATTAGAAGAGGAGGTACGTTACTCGTGTTATAAGAGCAAAGGCCAACATGACTACTGCACTTGGCACTTGCCAAATGTCAAGAATTAAAGCGATGCCATGAGTCCATTGTTGCCTATGTCCTTTGAGGTCTAGCTATTTCCTAAGCTCACTCATCCATCTTTACGTGTTTCATATAACTATACCTCACATCCAGAATTCACTATTCTTCTCCTTCAGAATCCTTGTCTTCCCACAAGGTTTCAAGCTAATGCTAACATAGACCCTCTATGGGAGCTCCCAATTTCTGAGCAGAAGCAGCCACACACAGGACTGAAGCTCAGCTATAAAAACAAAGAAAGATGTATCAAATTCAAGAGAAGAACTTCTTGTGACTGTAAAATAATGAGACTGTTTCCCTTATATGACTAGCAAATTCTAAAGTCAATTCCAAAAAGAAAGCAAAAGAAAATAAGGCTTCAAATAATAATCACAATAATGAGTAATAGCAAATAAATAATATGCCTAGCCTCTCATTGGGACCACTTTAGAAAATGGTATTCATTTCTGTATAGAATAAGTATAAGAAAGCAGTTGTGTTAACTTGAAGGATATATGATTATTTTTATTTAAAATGGCTGATAAAAGGGGGAAATGTGGTGCTCTAACTTCTCCAAGAATGAAATTCCTTTATAATGAAGTCACCCATATTTAAAAATTTTTAAAAATCATCACATATCATATGAAGCCATTGCTGTTAATCAAATGCCTTCATAACAATTTCTTAAGATCAAAGCCAATGTTTCCATTAAGTTTTGCGCATGAGTAATATGTGACAAACATTCATATCTACTTTTTCCATTCTTGCAGTTGGAAGCAAATACAACTGACCCTAGGCAGAATTGTGAAGTGAGGTATTATTATTCTTATTGTAATTGCTATCTGGTGTTGATCACTTATCGAGTGATTTGAATGATTATACTTCAGAATAAATGAGTTTGCCAGTGTGATGCTTCCCTTGGTAGTTAACTTTTTTAGCCTTTTATCTCTAATCTTATTTGTTGGCAATGGAAAGATACATGGATATGCATACTATAGATGTATCATCAAAAATTATTTGGGTTTGCTAAGAGGTGTGGTATAAAAGACATTTATCAAGGCAATTTATGACTAGAAAAGGAGACAGCCATCACATATTGAGAATGACAAATAATACATATCTATCTCAAGGTGTACTGAGATTGATAGAACAGGTTCAGTGTTCCGTTGCTTCTCAGTACACATTGATCCTTCAGTTTCTGGTGGGTTACATTGTTTGAATTCATACACACACACGAATACACACACATATACATGCATGCATACATGTATACATACACACATACACATATATTTGAATATTCTTTTCCTGGTCGTTTACAGAATTTGTTATCGTTGGCATTGTTAAATTACCCATCATGTGTGTTGGAGTTTGCAAGATAGTTTTTTTTTTCCTCTGGAGAAGATACTATGGATTCTTTTGACTGACACTTTGTTTTCTGTGCTCAGAAGTTCTGGGCAATTTCCTTGTATTATTTCTTGCATTGTGTTCAGACTTTTTGATTTGTCATGTTCTCTTGGGATACCTGTTTTAAGTTGTCCCTACACTTTCTATCTTTGAGGTCAATATGTTTTGCTTGTATTGTGATCATTTTTCTTTTAACATTATTGCTTTTTGCTTCTCTTCTAGATTGTCCTTCACTTCTGTGCATTGCATACCTAATCTGTCGGTATCTCTTCTATTTCTTTTGTGAGGTTTGCTACTATGGATCTAGATTTTTCTATTTTGCTGATTATATCTGCTGTGCATGTCATAAATTCTTCTTTCATAAATCTTTTGCCTTTTGTTAGCCATTCAGGAACATGCTGCTGTCATTCCATGATCTCTTGAGAATGCACAAGGTGTTGTTTCATTTTCTTTTGTCTTGAAATGTTTATTCATAGCTGTCTTTATTCATTTGGCTGATCTGGAGGACATCTTCTCTTGTGTTATTAATATCTTCCCCTTTGATTTATCTGTTTATGTTCAATGTATTTTCCTGAGATCTTTGGTAATTTCAATCTTTTTTTTTCCACATATACTCCTATCACTCATTTTCTGACCCATTCCCCTTTGATTGTAGTAACCTTGAAAGCTGGATCTCAAAGCTCTCTCATCTTCCTTTCAAGCTGGGGAATTCACATTTCATCAGCGCCAGTCTCTGCCCCCAAATAAATTCTGGGGAAATAGAACTGCCTAAGCCCACCGCACCAGTTCCCTCCTCAGTCCCCGGCCAAGCACTGCTGTTAGCACATAGAACTGCCATATGGCACTCCCAGCCAGAGTAAGCCTCAGCCTTTTGGTTTTCCTCAGCATGGAGAGTAGGAGTGGAAAAGCAGAGTTGAGTTCTTTTGCAAGCCCATCGGTCAGCTGGCTTGTCCACCCTGCCAGAAAGTGCTGCCTTGGAGCAGAGGGTATGCTGCATGAATGAGTTAGGGATTTCTGCTTTGGGGGTTTTGCCTTGTTAGGGTTCTTGGTCTCTTAGACTGTGAATACAGCTAAAATTACTTAATCACTTTAATAACTGTTTTGTACTGTATGTATTTGGTGGAGTCTTCATTCTCATCTTCATTCCTTAAATATCACAGCCCCTTCCTCAAATAGTATATCAGGTAAAGGTTAGTACTGTTCAAATTTGGTTACTAATTGTTACTGATGAGAAGAGTGCTATATAAATGCCAGCAGATCTAGTCTTTTCACATTTATTATTGTTCCATTTCTTGTTTCTTCTATATGGGCCCTTGTAATAATCTGGTGTATCTGAACTCCAAGTTCTCCACAGGCCTTTCTTCTCAACTCTTTTTCACTGTTTGGTGAAGTGTTGCTTCTGGTGGTCTTTAATCTTTCTTCATAAATGTGCTTGTGATATAAACCAGCAGTGTCCTTTGGCTGCCTTTCTGCTTGGCAAGGATGTCAGATCAGTGCTGGCTGATGTGGCTTTTGAGCTCTCTTGGCCTTCTTATTGTGGCAGTTGATTTACATTGGTTAAACTTCTGTAATAAATGTTGATAGAATAATAAATGTTGATGGAATCACTGTACTTTTGGATAAGTAGACAAATAGAAAGTTGTGTTCAATAAAAAAAATTTAAACATCATGGGACAGATTATTTTCCAGAAATGAGGGATATTTCCTCTATGTAAGGTAGTTTCCTAATTAGAACAAGCAATTACTCATTTAGAAGAAACCTTTCTTATTTTGCCCCAATCTTTTATTTTAAGTTAATATATTTTAAAGCACCTACTAAGTACCAGGCATGTGCTAGAAGTTAGGGCACAAAGGCAAAAATGCAGAAGAGCCTCAGCCTTGAAGGGGTTTTTATGTTCTATGGGAGGAAGCATTATATATCTGATAATAATATGTTTGAAAATTGAGAATTATTCCATTTTTCTTACCCTGATTTCCAGATATTTAAAAAATGCCTGATAAGTCACAGAGATAGGACAAATTACAATTCATAAAAAAATAGAATCGTTGTTTGAGGCTGTTCACTTAGATTCCCATTATTTCCCTATTCATTTTTGATCACAGATCATTATAAAAGTTTTACATTTCCCAGATGTAATGTCAGTTCATATGTTTGTTATCATCTTGTTACCATATTGTACTAGACTTCTAATGAAGGAAAACTCTACAAACTCAAGAGGGGGGAAAAACACACACAAAAAAGTTCTCTGTAATGTATATAAACCAATGCATAAAACGGAATTTTCGTTTTTTGAGTTTCTCACAGTACTATAAAAGTTTCTTAACCATAATCAAAATATTAAATCCTGTATTATTTTCTGGAATGATGGTATTCTTCATGTATAAACATTTTGAAAGAATTGAGAAATGAAGAATATGCAGCATTAGCTATATTTCTGAAATAGAAGCTGCATCATCTATTTCTCTTTAAATTATTTAGAGAAATGTGAAGTTCTAAGCATATTGACTCAACCACATTTGGCTTAAGGTGTCTAATTTATTTAACAGAAAAGGATCCTTAAAAAAAAGCATTTTAATGTTTATCAGAGTATCCTAAAAACCTATAAACACAATTTATTCTCCTCACCTTGAAAAAATTACCTTATAGGATTGAAGTATTTTTAATAATCAAAAAATGAAAAATATAAGAATTTAAGTAAATGAAGATTTTTTAAAGGATCTAGTTCACTTTTTAGTTTAATTTACATACAGATAATGCCTCTGTGTTAGTATAATGGAATTTCAGATAGAAAGCCCTTTTCAGAATACTGGTGTTAATATAATATTTAGTAGGGATCTGGGCAAACTGGAAGACTCTGTAAGATAAAAACTATTGAAAAAGAGTAAGCAGTTACTTTTGGATAAATTTAGCCTACATTCAAGTACTGTCTTTATGGCTATGAAAGATATTTATCAGAGAGAAGACATTTTACTTAACATGACATTCATTAGAATGCCGGAATGTTTTTAAACTGCCCTACCATGACCTCAGCCAAGAACGTGACAAATCCCTGGTTGGCATTTTCATTTCATATCTTAGTTCTGTGGAAAGAAAAGCAGACTTTAAATTAGAGGTTCTCTTGGCCCTGTCACTTACTAGCCACATGACCTTGGGCAAATCCTATTTGATCTCTCAACCTCAGTTTTCCTATATATTAAATAGAAATAAAAATACACTTACTCCCCATTTCACAGATCTTTGTGAGGATCAGATGAGATCATGTTACAAGTTACAAGGGACTTTCAACTGTCAGCACTGTGCAAATATAAGTTATCATATTTAACTTTAATAAAATAATAATGGCTAGGATCTTAAGATTAATTTTTTTTCTGTAGTCAAATACCTGTGATGTGTTACTTAATCTCTGGGCACCACCATCATCATTATCATAAATATGGATACCTAAAGTGCTATTGGCAAGATAGGTAGAGAGCTGCTGGGAAGCAATACCTTAGGACCTTTCTGAATGATCACTATAATTCTTCTCCAGCCATGTGAACACTCATGCATGTGGTTAAGGGGCAATTGCTACCTACCAATCGGCTTTATTATTTAAACTAGTGCCTCAACCCAACTTTCAGCAACTTGTGGTGATTGAATGATGAAGTATTACTGGACACAGAATTTTTCATACCTTTCATCATTTAGAAGGAAGACTTTGAGACTGCTTTTCTTTTAGTGCATCCAATCTTGAAAAATTATTGAGTGAGGGGAAAAAAATCTTAGAGATTATTTAGCCTTACTTCTCATGTAATATAAGCACCCTCATTGCAATTATCTTTGATAGGTGGCGATCCATTCTCTACTTGTACATTTAATGACAGAGTGTGAGGACTTCATGGCAACTAGCCCCATTATTGGAAGTTATAATCATTCAAAAATTCTTCTTTGTCAAAGTATGCCTCTGAATACTCTATTCATTCTAGCTTTGCCATCTTTTGTAAGAAGGATCAAAGTAACTCTATATTCCATGTTTTAGACCAACACCTCACCCCCTATACCAACATAAGCTCCCAATGGATAAGTGACCTAGATAAAAAAAGGTCTCATCATAAACAAATTAGAGAAACAAGGAAGAAATTATCAGATCTATTCAAAGAAAAAAAGTTCAAACACTATATAGAGAGGACCACACAAGTTAAAGGCATGACTTTGAGTACATAAAGTTTAAAAAGTTTTGCACAAACAATTCAAAAGATGAGATTAAAAGAGAAATACTTAACTGGGAAAAATCTCTCCAAGTTTCTTTGATAAAGCTCTAATTTCCAAGATTGTATAAAGAATGAATTCATAAGAATAAAATCCATTCCTCAACTGGTGAATGGTCTAAAGATATGAACAGGTATTTCTTGATGGAAGAAACTCAGACTATCTATACCTATATATTTTTAAATGCTCCAAATAACTACTTATTAGAGAAATGTAACTTAAAGCAATTCTGATATTCTACCTCATACTCATCAGATTAGCAAAGATGGCCAAAAAACGGCAAATTTTGGAGAGGCTTTTGGGAAACAGGAACATTGATGCACTGTTGGTAGATTCTTGCATTGGAATTCAATTTGGAATTATACACAAAAAGTTACTAAACATTGCATATTCCTTTACTAAGCTATACCAACTAAGTTTATACCCAAAAAGAGCAAAGAAAGGGGGCAAGGTCCTATATGGAGTCTTTATAGTAGCTCTTTTTGTGGTGGCAAAAACGAACTGGTAACTAAATGGATGTTTTTCAATTGGAGAATGGCTGAACAAATCGTGGTATATGAATGTAGCAGAATGCTATTGTGCTGTAAAAAGTTAGAAAATAAATTATTTTTAAAAGATTTGGAAAAACTTATATGAACTGATACAGAGTAAAGTTAGCAAAATCAAAAGAATGATTTATATTATAAGTTACCATTATAAAAATGAACAATTTTGAAAACATATGAACAATGAAGAATAAAATGAACAGAATTGGGAAATGTTTGCACAATAATAACATTGCAAAAACAAAACTTTGAAAGCTGTAAGAATTTTAACACAATGACCATCCACGATTCCAGAGGACCTTGGATGAAGCATCGTATCCATCTCATTACAGAAAAGCAATGGACTCAGGGAAAACAATATGACATTAAAACATATATATATATATATATATGGTTGAAGAAAAAAATATGCTTTGCTTGACTCTGGATATGTGTCCCGAGCAATTTGGATTTTTTTTTGGAGTGGGAGGGATAGAATAGATTTTGTGTGTGTGTGTATGTATGTGTATATGTATATGTGTGTATGTATGTATGTATACATATTTAAATTAACTGAAAAACAAATTATGTAAACTTGGGCAAATCATTTTTCCTCCCTGACCTCAGTTTTCTAATATATAAGATGGAATTATAATATTTAACCTGCCTACCTCACAGATATGAGATTCAAATGCAAATTTAATAACCTTAAAAATGGTAGTCCTATATAGATTTAAACTGATAATATTTTTATCATGATTTGTCAGCTAGAATTTTCACAAAGATGAGCTTCTGTGTCTGCATTCAATTTCTCTTGTGGGAAGCTAGAGTAATATGAGCATTGTTATGGGGGCTTCCTCAAGCCCTCAGAGATCTAAGATTTTATTTACATAGTCCTTCATTTTCTTTTTTAAAAATTTATATTATGATGACTGAGATTAGAAGTATGTTGCTTATTAGCAGCATGGCCTACTCCCTCTTTCTGGCCCCCACCCCTGTGTAGATACTGCCACAACTCCTCCCTTCAAGTATTATTCCTTGTATAGTCTCCACCCATGGGGGAGTGGTTTCCTTGAACTTGCCTAGAGACATGGGAAAATATGCAGGGAGATATGCCTGAGGCATATCTATTTCTAAGAGATTAACTCACTTCCTAATTTATCAAGCCTCATTTCTCCTAACAACATCATTAGGTCATTCTTTGCTCAGGAATGCTTGAATACACTAGATTCATTTTTAATCTTTGATTTTAAGGAGTTCAATAATATTCTTTCATAAAATGAACTTTCAAATGAACTAAAGTTCATTTGATCTTCAAGTCAAATATCATGGAGAATTGGAAGGAAAATTGAGTGAGCTTTCTATAAACTTGGAGAAGTCGGTCTCTCGGCACTTCAGTTTCCTCATCTATAAAATGAATACATTGGACTGAATAATTTTAAGGCCTCTTGCAGCTCTAAATCCAAATGAGATCATTATCTCATGAAATTCTTTCAGTTAGGCAATGTCAGCAAGTCAATAGATTATATATGTGCAGACAGTTCTAGTCTTAAACAAATGATTTGTTTATTTAACAGAGGACTGTAATCTCCATTTGAGCAGTTAATAGCAAGTTTTGTGTTCAGTAGTGGGAGCACATGGTCTTGGCTAAGACATTTAAACTCTTCGGGTATCATTTCCCTCATCTGCAAATGAATGTATTAAGTGAATTGATCAGAATTCTCTCTTATTTCTGATCTATGATTCTGTGGGAGGAAGGAAGCTGTAGTCTGACATCTTAAAAGTTTTTTGTTTGTTTATATATTTTCCCTCTGTAATCCTAAAAAATCTCTGTGTGACATACATCAGGTTGTAGAGTTGTCATAGGGAGATAAAGAACTTTTCTGCAACCTGGTAAGAGATAGAACAGTTGTCAGGTTGCTATGGGCAGATTTACAAAAGGGCCTTGGTTAGAAGTTCTCTCTAGAGTATTGTTCCTAGGGGACCAAAGGCAGAAACTCTTTTGACCCCAAAAATCAGCATAAGTTAAAAACATACCCAGTTAGAGGGAAAAAATATCATGAGGATTCAAATGCTCTAAAATGTGTTTTTTTTTACATAAATAATAGTAAACTGTTCTTGCTTCTCTAAAGGAAGCTTTCCCTGGAGGATAGAGATTTACATTCAAATGCCAGAACCCATGAGAAACTCTCATGTTTCACTTCCTAGAAAATTATTGTCATCCAAAGGCCTGAAAGGGAAAATTCGTTTCTGAAATCAGTTTAGAAATGATGCTCAGACTTGATTTCTCCCAGTCACAACAACAATACTTCTGAAATAACCCTTCCCAGCCACAAAGTACCACAAAAGATTAATAGGGTATGATCCTTAGAAGTTCAATAAAGCTACAGATTTGTTCAAAAGTATCTTGAAGTCATGTACACAGTTTCTTCTCTGTATGAAAACAAATTTTATCAGTTTTATCAGTGATAGGAGATTTAGCAGACAATTGTCACCAAGTGCATAGAACATGGATAAAATGCACACAAAAATTCAGTCTGTTCTTAGGATCTTGAGAATCAGTGTATTAGATGAAGGGGCAGGCCTTAGAATCAGGAAGACTTAGGTTTAAATCTTATCTTTGACACATAACCAGCTTTATGACCATGGGCAAGTCTCAATGGACCAAGCAACTCTCTGTGACCGAGGTTCTTAACCTTTCTGGTGTCATGTATTCCTTTGGCACACTAATGAAAATTTCTTAGATCATTTTTCAGAACAGTTTTTAAATGCATAAAATAAAATACCTAAGATTACGTAGAAAAATAAGTCTATTGAAATAGTCATCTCTACAGCTAATCTTCTCTATAGGCATATCTATCTCTATATGTATAGATAATATGTGTATCTATATTAATGTACAGATAGATATGTAAGTTCATAGACACCCCCCGGTTAACAATCAAGAGTGAGATTTATATTTATATCTAAATGTAAACATAGATATAGTTATATAAAAAAGTTCACAGACTCTCTGCTAAGAACTCAGCTCTGACACTATAAATTACAAAAGAGTAACTGGTCTGCATGGATGGAGAACCAGGAGTTCCCTACACAAATAAAGTCGCAGGTCTGAACCCGCTATCTTCAACCAAGTCCAATTCTGTGTATCTTACTATGTTTACTTGAAGCCATATGAGCTTTCATTTTGCTTCCAGTCCACAGCTTTTTGTCATTGGCTCATGTAAGGTGGGTTGGAATTTGTAGGAAGTACTGGAAGAATGAATAGTTATACTGTTATTATGATGGAAGCAGGTATATTATGCCCTATTGGTTGAGACCAGCTTTTTGAGTTCCAAGGGCTGTCATGACAGAAATGTTTTGATCACTCTATAGTAGTGTGATCCCTTTGTGACTAACTTTTATTTCCAGTTCATCAACTTCCAGAATGAAGACAGGTGGTTATGCCTTAAGGGAGATGGTCATCCTATATGCTTCAGTAATTACAATAGAAACCACTCAAAAATAAATTTAAAAATCCCACAAATACAATTGTGGAATGACAGCAATTCTCTTACTCCACCTATGAAGGCCTAGTCCTGGATCAATTCTAGGGATTCATTTCAGTTCTGGTGCTGTGCAAAACAGGCTATGGTAATTGCTCAACCAAATTAGACTCTAAGTAGTTTGCTAGCAAAGCATGGAGCAAAAGAAGACACTGTGGAAAGATACTTCATGTCCCAGCAAAGTGAGGTGGAGGTTTGGGGTAATTATTCTTATCATTCAGGACCCTCTTGCTATTTAAGGTATGAATAGGGTTGTTTTGTATTGGAATACCAAGAGGGAGACTGAAACTACTGTATGTCATTGAGTGACTCTTGGTGATGGTGCACTTGGATCAGATACATTTCAAGCTGCTTTTAGGGGTCAACAGAATTTTCTTAGGGAAATTAGGAAGCCTAATTTAGGTTTTTTTTTTTTTTCAGCCAAAGACAAGGTTTAATAAAGATCTGCCATATTAGCCAGACTCTTAAGGAATCTGAGAGTCTCTGAGATATTGGCTAGATTCTAAGAATCTGAGCATTGGCTAGATTTTAAGAACCTGACCACCTTAATGGGGACAAGATGGACCTTATATACAGAAAGACTGTGGGAGAGATCTAGGAGTGGCCCAGTAGTTTGGGGTGACTGGAGGAGAGGTCTAAGGAGATCTGGATGGGAGTGGCCAGTAAGCTGGAGTGAACAGAACTCCCTACATGGCCAAGGGAGAATGGAGCCTAGCTAGAAATAAGAGTGGGAACTAATTTAGGTTTCTAAGAGCAACATTCTAAAGGAACTTAAACCGAGGTTAGATGATTTGAGGTACTGGTGATGCCTTTCAAGGCATCACGTTTTGATTAAATTAACTAGAAATTATGAATAACCATCAAATCTGTCAATTTCTCAATTATTTATTAGATCTGTGTAGATATAGGCAGTAATTCTTTCAACCATGTGTTTAGTAAAGAATGGTTTTGGCCACATTTTTTATCCTTAGCAATTTATGAAGCTTTGGTTTAGTTTTCATTTGGGTTCTGAAGTTTTGTTAGAATGTATATTTGTTTATTCAGTTTTAATTGAGGTTTATTCCTTTGATATTCTCATTTGTCAAGTCTCTGAAAAGTGGTAGGATAATTGTGACTGGCTACCTTTTTATTTATGAATGAAAATTCTTAGAACTCTTTTTTAGAAAATTCATGCTGGGATTTCACCTCAGAATTAGAATTCCACATTGCTCAGATATATTACAAAGGGGATAGAGCCAAGATTCTTACTGCTAATGGGACAAGCCTAGGCATGTTATAAACAATTACTGTTGGATTCTTTGAAGTTTTCCAAAGGTACTAGAACTTTTAGGTTGCAGAATCATTGGGTCATTTTAGATCTTTAGACTTGTGAGAACCATAAAGGGCAGATATTTTTCTTAGAAACTTTACATTCTTGAAATTCACCATTGAAGCATCAACATAGCCAGAGGATCACAGTTAAACAAAACAAAACAAACCCAGGCTCAACTTTGATTTCTTTCTTTCTTTCTTTTTCTCCTTTGGCATTAAGATGGGGGGAGGGAGCTATAAATAAGATATGATTCACTCCTGACCTGAGTGAACCACCTAAGCTAAAGCCCCATTTGAAGAGGTCTAGGCTTTGGGGTGCTGCTGCAACCCCAAGATCGTGACGCCAGGCCCTGCTTGAAAGAATTCAACTCAAATCTTCTTCCAGCCAGAGAAAAAGTTTTATTAGTGATAAAACACATAGGCCAGGAGATGCTTGTAAGGACAAACGGGCATGAGAAAGTCTCAGCCTTTTGCACGTGAGATTCTCAGCATTTGAATGGGGGTCAAGCTAGATCTTATATACTAAAGTGACTTTGGGTAGCCAGAGGAGGAGTCCGGGAAAAGGGTCTGGGTGAGAATTCTGATTGGAATGTCTAAGAGATTGAATAGACAATGGGAATAGATAATGAAGGAACTGAAAGACATCTGAATGAGATCAAAAATGTGGGGCCAGGGCTTTCAAAGGGAGAAGAGGGGCTGGGGCCTGTAGGCAAAAGGGAGCCAGATTCCCTTTGGGGCAAGGGGCAAAGACCTAGGCTTGGGCCATATTCCATCACATTAATTTACTTCTTCCCAGCAATTGCCCCCTATATCAAGTTCCCCTTATCACACCTCCCTTGATAACCTTTTCCCGCTTACAAATTGAATTTTAGTTCCATATCCATGACACAGTTATTTCTATACGTGTGACCCAGTTTCCTGACCCAAAGATTTTCAATTCATTCTTGAATGATTGTATAGCCTGTTGAAAGTAGTTCATATTTCTCTTTAGTTCTATTGTTCAAAGACAGGTTCTCTTATACAGCCTATTGCAATAAATGCCAAGCCTTTTGGTGTTAGGGGAAGCAAAGGTAGCAGTAGATAAGGACACGCAGAATTTTCTGAAGCTTGCATTCATACCCCCTGGCTGCATGTGAAGGATGTTTCAGCATACTGTTTGATTTAAGATAAGAACAGGATCTGTGATTTGTCTGGAAACTCTCAAGTGTCAAACATGCCTCTTAGGCTTGCAACACTCCCTAATGCAGCCTGAATCAGATTTAAATGAAATTGGGAAATACTTAACAAAATAAATAAAAATACAATAAAACATAGATAATGTTAACATGTGGTTTTCTAAGTCAATATGCCATCAGAAGAGATACTTATATACTGGTTAGTGGCCCTCTTTTTATTTGAGTGTGATACCTCTAGTCTCAAGAGAATGAGCACTAAATGATTTGTCCAGGCTTGAAGAGATAGTATATGTCAGAGGTGAGACTTATACTTGGGTCTTCTGGCTTTAAAACTGGCTCTTTTTCTACTATTCCACTGCCATTTCTATTGCTTTATTTACAAAGTATTAAACTAATAATTGTATGCCTTTGTTTATGCTGGTTCCCCCCTTCTAAGTTGCCCACTACCCATGCATGCTGTTTTTAATTCCTAGAATCTTTGGTAGCTCAAGTCTTACCTCCTTGAGATTCATCTCAATCTTACTGTGTTCTGTCCCCTCTTCTTAGTTTTTAATTATGCACAGATTATTGTTTACTCACCCTAGTACAGGCCTCTACTCAAGATTTTGGATCTCAAGAACCCTTTACGCTGTTAAAAATGATTGCCCACCCACTCCACAAAGAGCTTTTGTTTATGTGGGCTATATCAACATTTACCATATAAAAAATTAAAATGTCTTAGCATCATTATGAAAATAGTTTGGACGTCATGGACCCTAGGAAAGGATCTCAAAGATTCCCAGGAGTCCCATTTTGATGAGAACAGCTGACCCAGACTATGACAACAGCCTTCTAATTTTTCTCCTTCCCTTCCTCTGATTTCTCCCTTCTCCAGTCTCTCTGTCATATGGCTGCCAAAATATTCTTCCTAAGGTATAGGTCTGACCATGATGACATTACCCTTCCCAAGAAAACTTCATTGCACTGAAAGAGTTGGGCTAAAATGCAAACTCTTCAGGCTTTCGTTTAAGAAATTCCATAATCTAGCCCTAATCTACTTGTCCAGCCACGTTTATCATCATTTTTTTTATTCATTCTACCTTCCAATTTGCTACCCTTTAAATTCAACATATTGTATCTCAGCTCCATGCATTCATACCAGGGATCCCCTATGCCTGGAATACATATTCCTTTTTTATCTGTTGCCTTCAAAGGACAACTTAGGTATTACCATCCTTTTGAAATCTGCCTTGATTCCTACCCACCCCTAATAATCTTTGTGCTCTCTCATTATAATAATAATAATGATGATGATAGCATTTATTAAGTACCTACTATGATAAACATTACAAATAGCTTCTCATTTAATTCTCACAAAAACCCTGGGAAGTGAGTGCTATGATGATCACCATTTTACAGATAAGGAAGCTTAAGCAAACAGAGGTTAGGTGAATTGCCCAAGATTACACAGCTAGTATATTATATATGCCTAGAACTCTATTTGATTTTTCTGTGTCCATCTTTGCTCGTGAGCCATGTGTTACATTTATCGGTCTTTTGTGTTGTATTACTCCAGTAGAGTGATTCCTTATGTAAGGAATATTTTGTTCTTGTCTATGCCCAGAACAGTGTCTCTTATATATTAGGTTCTTAATATGGGGACTGAATTGAACTGACATTATCATATGTACAGAGCATATTTCCATAACCAGATTGTAAGTATCTTGAAGACAAGGAGCCTTGATTTTTAAATTTTTTAATTTTTAGGCAATTGGGGTTAAGTGACTTGCCCAGGGTCACATAATTAGCAAGTGTTTGGTCTGAGGTTGCATTTGAACTCAGGTCTTCTGGACTCCAGGGCCAGTGTGCTATCCATTGTGCCACCTAGCTGCCCCCAAGGAGCTTTGATTTTGATCTCATTGTACTAGCCCTAGCTCAGCACCACTGACTTGCATATATTAAGTGTTGTATATATGATACCTTTTGTTTATTTGTGGGGGTGTGTATGAATGCATGTACATATTGTCTCCCCTGGCTAGACTGTAAACTCCTGGAGTGCAGAGATAATTTCACCATTATCATTTATCCCCAGCACTTAGAATAGTGTCTGGTGCAGAGTAGGCACTTAATAAATGCTTGTTGATTGACTAATTGGTGGTCATAGACAATGTATTTAAACCATGTAGGATACTGGCACATGTAAACCTGTTATTAAATACACAT